GCTTCGGCTCGAACATGCTCGGACGACGAGAATAAAATTACAATAATAATTAAAATACTTAAATTAATATTTAATAAAAAAATACCGAAAATAATATATATATATAATAAACACAATTAGGCACATAAAAATTATTTAAGCATTTAGACAATTAACAATCAATAATAATAGCCACAGATAATGATAATAATAATAATAATAATAATAATAATAATAATAATAATAATAATAATAATAATAATAATAATAATAATAATAATCCAAATTATTCATAAACGAACGGGGCGCTACATTAAATAAATGAATTAGTGGAATGGTTAACACATAAACAATACGTTTTCGAACATGTCTATTCTAAACAAATCAAGTTCTATCAACTTCGCCCCTCTCGGTTATGAAATCGATTATGTAGATTAAAATGGTGATCAAACATTTAACCATAATATTAATAAATTTGTAAAGATTGAGCAATAAAAATACTTATAAACGATAATAAATAGAAACGATTATCCCTTAACCCTAGTTAGAAAATTAGTTACTCATAGTAATTTTAACATACAAATTCTTATGTAAATAAACCATTATAAACATAAAATAAAAAGAAAACTTACTAATAATCCACAAGCTAGAGCAAGTGCAAACTTAATGTCCAAACTTCAACAATCTTCAATAATTCAATCTTACAAATTCAAACTTACAAATGTAGTAAAAATAGAAATGTGGAAAGATAAAATGATATAGAAAAAAAATTGCCTTTTTTTTTTCTCTCCCCTTTTCTTTCATGATAATGTTGCTATTTATAGATATAAATAGCTTACTAACATCAACCAAAGTTCAACAATAATTCAACCACCAAGAAAAATGCAAGAAAAGGTGAAAGAAGGTAGGAAAAATGAGAGAAAGGTTGGAATTTTCGAACAAAATCCGAGAGACGTCTCGGGCAGCTTTGCTTCTCGGGCTCGTTTTGGGCTCGTCCGAACTCGGAATTGAATTCCGTTTTTTCTACGCGTCGCTAACGAACCCCTCTATTTAATGATGTATGCCAATACAAATTTCACCCAGAATACAATTATCTAAGGATTTTTAACTTCCAAGGTTTCGGCAACTCGCTCGATTTTACGCTTCGGTCCCTACGAACTCATCCGAACTCGAAATCGAGTTCCGCTTTTTTCTGTGTGTAGCTAACGAGCTCCTCTTTCTATTAATGTGATCATGCCCAATAACTTTCCAAAATCTTGCTCTTCCGAGATTTTCGACCGTTCCTTTGTTTTACAAATACTCGAAAAATACAAGAAAAATATACAAAATTCCACACAAATACTTAAAGATTACAAATTACTAAATAAAACTAAAAACTACCCAAAATCCCACAAACTTACTAAAAATACATAAAAATAATATTAAAAAACATTAATAAAAACATAACAAAAATAACACTAACAACTCCCCCACACTTAATTCTTTGTTCGTCCCAAACAAAGATAAAAACTTAAACAAAACAATTCAAATATATTTTTTTTTCATTTTTTTTTCATATACATTTTTTTTTTATTTTTTTTTCTTTTGTTCCTTTTTTTTATATATTTTTTTTTATAACACACAATAACGTACTCCCCCACACTTAATTCTTTGTTCGTCCCGAACAAAGATAAAAACTTAAACAAAACAATTCAAACATTTTTTTTTTCATTTTTTTTTTCTTCTTTTTTTTAATATATATTTTTTTCCCTTTTTTTCTTTTCTTTTT